CTGCCTCTGATAGAGGTTACTCTGTCAGGCACAATACGAGAGAAACAATAATCTCCTCCTCCCCCTCTCGTAGAGTAGCAGTGTATCTGGATCATCCTGCTGGCTCTCTATCCTTCTACAGAGTCTCCTCTGACTCACTGACCCACCTCCACACCTTCAGAACCACATTCACTGAACCTCTCTACGCTGGGTTTGGGTTATGGTTTAGGTCAGGTGTCTCCTCAGTGTCTCTGTGTCCTCTGTAGGAGGAGACCACTTCCTGTCCTGGGTTTAAGGGTTGGTGTTTTAAATCTGGCTCACTGATTGTGTCTTTACTGTCAGAAGTATTTTTATCAGAGGCTTCTATTCTGAAGGCTGTGTCCTCAGAGAAGCTTTTATTCTGAAGGCTGTGTCCTGAGAGAGTCTTTTATTCTGAAGGCTGTGTCCCCAGAGAGTCTTTTATTCTGAAGGATGTGTCCTCAGATAGTCTTTTATTCTGAAGGCTGTGTCCCCAGAGAGTCTTTTATTGTGAAGGCTGTGTCCTCAGAGAAGCTTTTATTCTGAAGGCTGTGTCCTGAGAGAGTCTTTTATTCTGAAGGCTGTGTCCCCAGAGAGTCTTTTATTCTGAAGGCTGTGTCCTCAGATAGTCTTTTATTCTGAAGGCTGTGTCCTCAGAGAGTCTTTTATTCTGAAGGCTGTATCCTCAGAGAGTCTTTTATTCTGAAGGCTGTGTCCCCAGAGAGTCTTTTATTCTGAAGGCTGTGTCCTCAGATAGTCTTTTATTCTGAAGGCTGTGTCCCCAGAGTCTTTTATTCTGAAGGCTGTGTCCTCCGATAGTCTTTTATTCTGAATGCTGTGTCCTCAGATAGTCTTTTATTCTGAAGGCTGTGTCCTCAGAGAGTCTTTTATTCTGAAGGCTGTGTCCCCAGAGAGTCTTTTATTCTGAAGGCTGTGTCCTCAGAGTCTTTTATTCTGAAGGCTGTGTCCTCAGAGAGGCTTTTATTCTGAAGGCTGTGTCCTCAGAGAGGCTTTTATTCTGAAGGCTGTGTCCTCAGAGAGTCTTTTATTCTGAAGGCTGTGTCCTCAGAGAGGCTTTTATTCTGAAGGCTGTGTCCTCAGAGAGGCTTTTATTCTGAAGGCTGTGTCCTCAGAGAGGCTTTTATTCTGAAGGCTGTGTCCTCAGAGAGTCTTTTATTCTGAAGGCTGTGTCCTCAGAGAGTCTTTTATTCTGAAGGCTGTGTCCCCAGAGAGTCTTTTATTCTGAAGGCTGTGTCCCCAGAGAGTCTTTTATTCTGAAGGCTGTGTCTTCAGAGAGTCTTTTATTCTGAAGGCTGTGTCCTCAGAGAGGCTTTTATTCTGAAGGCTGTGTCCTCAGAGAGGCTTTTATTCTGAAGGCTGTGTCCTCAGAGAGGCTTTTATTCTCTAGGCCAGGGGTGGGGAACCTTTTTCCTCTCAAGGGCCATTTCAATTTTTTCAACATCCTCCGAGGGCCGTACAAATTATTGACGTCTGCTTAAAAATACTAAAATCACAGCCCATTCATTTGGCCTTTCTTTCATGTTGTGCAAAGAAAAAGCAACCTCTTAATCCAGATATTTTACCATGACACACGCATGCATGCACGTGCACAGTTGTGGCATGACCACCAAAACAGAAAGGTATGGACACAAGATGTGTGCAATTTAGTTTCCTATCCATGTGAACATGATTTAAGTGGGGGGGACCTAACCTCCTCTAGGGGGGTCCGGGGGCATGTTCCCCCGGAAATATATATATTTTTTAATTGAAGTTAAAAGCATCAATCTGGTGCACTTTGAGAGCAACATTAGTAGCTCTATGGATACATCTCTCAACACCCAGATGAAACAGAACTGTAAGCAGATTTTCTTTTTCTTTATGGATATTTTACAAATCACTCCGCTTTCAAACTGTATCCTTGTTTATTAATAACAACTTTTTGTTACTGTCATATAGTATTTTATACCCGTTTACTTTATTCTCTTATTTTTTTATAACTATAATGATCATATAAAGATGTGCCTTAACCTCACTGGTTGGAGAAAAAGCTTCTTATATTCGTTAGCATAGCTAGCTAACCAGATGCTAATAACAACAAAGTTATTGACTGTATGATCAGTGAGACAGATGAACAGATCGCCACTGGGCTTTCAACTAAAGACACAGCCACGCAGAAACTGCGGCATGTGTACGGCTCCTTATGGGTACTGACATTTGTGAAGTCCCGGCCCGGAGCGGCGTTCTGGTGCTCTGCTCTCCGGCAGCTCTAAACCCCTGTCGGACGAGACATATACCACGTGATGACACGTTAGGCTCGTGTTGTGTTCAAGGACCCTGACCTTGGCCAGGAAAAACAGACACTCACTTGTTTAATTATTTTGCGGTCTAGATTTCTTAATTTTTTTCTTTTTTGCGTGTGTTACCTCGAGGGCCGTATCAAATTGTCTCGCGGGCCTTATACGGCCCGGGGGCCGGAGGTTCCCCACCCCTGCTCTAGGCTGTGTCCTGAGAGATGCTTTTATTCTGAAGGCTGTGTCCTCAGAGAGGCTTTTATTCTGAAGGCTGTGTCCTCAGAGAGGCTTTTATTCTCTAGGCTGTGTCCTGAGAGATGCTTTTATTCTGAAGGCTGTGTCCTCAGAGAGGCTTTTATTCTGAAGGCTGTGTCCTCAGAGAGGCTTTTATTCTCTAGGCTGTGTCCTGAGAGATGCTTTTATTCTGAAGGCTGTGTCCTCAGAGAGGCTTTTATTCTGAAGGCTGTGTCCTCAGAGAGGCTTTTATTCTCTAGGCTGTGTCCTGAGAGATGCTTTTATTCTGAAGGCTGTGTCCCCAGAGAGGCTTTTATTTGGTGATTCATATGGAACTGGCTCCTTGACAAAAACCTCACTATTTGTATAAGGTAGTTTATTCATTCATTTGTGAATTTAATCTCGGGAGTTTTATCTCCAGATCCGGAGCTTAATGAGGTCACGTATAGCTACATTTGCAGATATACCACAGCATCGGGCACTTGAAGAGACAAGTAATGTTAGACCAGGATGTAGAGGAGCTGTGGCCCTTTCTCATTTAATCAAATCCCCCTCCTCGACTCCTCGACCCCTCTGTCCTCCGGTAGTGACCCGGAAATGAATTTCAGCGCGCCATGTTGAAGGACATCTAATTTCTCTCAATGCACTTCGAGGACCGAGCATCGAGCGTCGAGGAGGCTCTCTGGAGGAGCTATAACCGAGGATACACTGATGGGTCCTCCACGGTCCTCCACGGCTCCTTCGTGGATGCATATCCGGCAACAGAGATGTTTCAAAGAGTCGTGACGCACGGCCGGACTTATCTCAGCTAATGACAGCTCTGCATGCATCCCCTGGATATTATTTTATTAACTGCTTTCATCGCGACGCGATGTTTACAGTGAGAACAGCTGTCCGTGCAGAAAGCAGAGCAGTGTGTATAATATATATCACTCAGTATAACAGGCCTACTCTCTTTATTTGCTGTAGTTTAGTAGATATCTACAAACAAAGAGTCCATATTTTTCTAAAACCATTTAGTGCTTCACAAAATAAAATACACAACGGCTGTTAGGCTGTTCTCTGTAGGTGCGTGTGTGTGGTACAGTGTGTGCGTAGATGCAGCGGACAGACAGGTCTCAGTTGGTTTGGTGTCCTCTGCTTACTTTTAATACTTGTAAATAAAACTTTTGGCCCGTAATTTATATTCCTCATTGTAGCGACCAGAGGGGGGGGGGGGGGGGTGGTGTGTGTGTGTGTGTGTGTGTATATGTCCGCATCTGTAGCCTGTTATTGTCTCATTACACCGCACTGTGAATGAATCAAAGTAAATATAGAAGTGGTCATGAACACATCTGTCCATCAGACAGAGGGCTGCTGTGCCTCCTGTCATCATTAATGGACGTCTCTTTAAAATGACCGCTCAGAGGAGAGGAGTTCTCATTTCTCTAACCGCCTGCTGCTTCCCCTCCTCTCTCCTCGGTTCCCCTCCTCGGCTCCTCGGCTCGCATCTCCTGTGGGCGGGACTAAGTATCGAGGGTAGGAGTCGAGGAGGGGAGTCGAGGAGGGGAGTTCGAGAAATGAGAAAGGTGTAGGGTTGGGAACCGAAACTCGGTTCCAGATGAGAACCGATAAGAAAATGCCGGGTACCGGGTACCCATACAAAATACACAATTTCGGTTCTGCTTAACGGTTCCTAAACGCGGTAGACCCTGTATTCCAGCGGGTCCGTCTGCACCGCGGTGCTGCGGTGACCCGGTGGAATACAGGGCGGACCTGGAGAATCACAGAACGGCCGGTCGTCAGCGGGCCGTTGACGGCCGGCTCGGTACGCTGACGGCCGGCACCGCCCTTCATTTTTTAAAAACGGCATCATATAAATTGCGCTGACAGGCGACAGAGGTCCACAGTTGCCCCGCAGCGATGCTCCCCCGCCCTCCCGTAGACATTTCACGAGCTCAGTCACTTCATAACACCAAAGATAGGTCGCGGTAAACACTCTGAAGTGAGGCTCCACTACACTAAAAAATAAAAATAAAAGGCAAAGTGTAATGCCTGTTAATAGCTTGCCACAGGCATAGCTCAGTTAAAATAAAGCACAGCTATTGTGCAATACATTTGTATTGCATGTATATTTTTTAGTAACAATTTCAGTTAAAGCTTTTAAGAATAAATATATTTTTGTTATCTAAACGTTTGACCTCTTTATTTTACAATTTTGGAATCAAAACGGGGAATCGATAAGAACCGGAATCGATAAGCAGAACCGGAATCGAAATCGGAATCGATAAATTTCAAACGATACCCATCCCTAGTCAGGTGTCCACCCTATACCAGACACTTCTTAGTCAGGAATTAGTCAGCACAGAGAAGTATAGAACTGAGTGGGAGACAGAATTGGGTTAGCCGATCACTGAGGAATGTCGGGAAACAAGTTTTAGGAATATTCACCGGTGCTCAGTAAATGTTAGATTCAATCTGATACAATTTAAAGTTGTACATAGGTTGCACTACTCAAAAGTTAATGTAAACAAGACGTATTCCAGCGTATCAGCATTATGTAACACATGTAAAAATCAACCTGGCACCCTTACACACCAACTCTGGACATGCCCCAACCTCCACTCTTTCTGGACTTCTGTATTTGATTTTTATTCAAAAGCATTGGACAAGCAATTGAAGCCTGATCTCCTTGTGGCCATTCTGGGGTCCACGAGTGACACTGATCTGAACTATGGCAGTGACACATGGCCGGTGTTTGTGGGGTACTGTTTGGGCTAAAGAACGTATTTTGAGGTGATGGAAGTCTGACGCTGGGCCTACATTTGAGATGAGGCTGAGGGAGTTGGGTGAGATCCTCTACCTGGAGAAACTTAGATTCCAGACTGCAGGAAGGGGAGAGTGTTTGATAAGGCCTGGGCTCCGGTGCTGAGACACTTCAGAGGTCTGGGTGAGGGATGAATGATCAATAATGTTAACCCTGTAACCATGTGTTCTTTGTCCTGATGTGCTCTCTTGGGTTGCTCTCTTGTTTCTAGCATGAATATTGCATTTCTTATTATCTCGTGTTTTAAAAACCACCAACAGCCTGATTGTACTAGTATGTTCTGAATCCGCTGTTTTGTTGTTATGGGAAATGTAAAATATGATTGCTTTGTTATACCAATGTGGTTCCTCCAGCCATTTTCTGCAATAAAAATATTCTTTAAAAAAAAGATCATTACAGAGTTTCTTTCGGCCATTTTGTAAATGAGTTCTTGAGGTTTTTTCATATGTCTTTGAACCTGTGGGCCACCGTACACCAGAGCTATAGAGGAGACACTGCAGATAACACTTTAAAACAAAAAGCAACAGATAAGTTGTTGGATATTGATAATGAAGAGTCATTATTTATATATATATATATACCTTTAAAATATCTGAATATATTTGAGTTGATGTCGTGATATAGGGATTTAAGAAACACGGATGGAGGTTTTCTTTCAGTTCCTGACGTTGAAAAAGCCAAACAACTGAAGCATTGATCAGTACCAATGACCCACAGCTCCTCTCTGCTCCAGAGGGTTTACAATGTCAGGAAGGAAGAAAGAAACGATGCAAACATTCAAATGAATCAACAGGAAGTCGGAGACAGTCGTTAAAAATGAGTTGTTTTTATAGCAATAATGCAAAGTCATATTTCCCCTCATTAATGATGCAGACACAGGATCAGAACAACTGAACATTACAATCATGTGTTTCCACTTCAGGACGACAGCGGGAAATACAACAGATATTTCTATCTGAACTTGTGGATTTCATCTCTTGGACATTCAGTCTGACGTCCTCAGATCTTCAGCATGAAAGCTCTCACACAAACATCCTCAGAGTCTCCATCAAGTGGCACAGCACTGAAAACATGCACTCTGTGGCCAAAAGCACGTGCACACCAAACTGCACTTTAAACGGGATGCTCATTCAGTTTGGATGTTTTTTCTTTAGTGACCTCGTTCAGCAGAAAAGGACTAAATAAATACATCTGATTAATCACGACATGATTACCAGGAAAGAGGGGGATCAGAACCACCAAACAAATCATATGTATCTTTACATCTCAAGCCATCCTCTTCCTCTTGGGAATGCTGCATTGCTTTTAGGATTTCAAAACATACTTAAATCTGTTTAAGTGGAAAAAAGTCAGACTTAAATCTCAGAATTACTGAAGCTGAAGCGAGGAATCTCAACAAAAAAACCAATCAGAATCATAAATGATGTTGGTAATCTTTCGCGCTAGCAGTGGCGGCTGGTGGAAAATATTTTTGGTGGGGCTGTTGATATAGTGAGTAAAACATTTTTTTTTGGGAGAAATGACCCCTTAAATTAGGACTTCTGGGGATGTAATGGCGCGTTTCCACTGCAGCCGTGCAGCCGTGCGGGCCCGTTTTTGGTTGCGTTTCCACTTGGCCTAGTACCGGCTAGCGGGTCCTAATTCACAGTTTTTCTGGACCCATAAAATCGTGGTTCTAGGGCCAGGAACAACCAGGCTGAGTCGGGCTGAGCATGCTAAACTAGTTATGCTAAAACAATGTCGGACACCGTAATCTTCTCTGGTCCCCTCCCCAATCTGATCAATGATGACATGTATAGCCGCATGTCATCATTTCAGCGCTGGTTGTCTTGGTGGTGCCCAGCAAACAATGTGGGCTTCGTAAATAATTGGACAGCCTTCTGGGGAAAACCTGGTCTGATTAAGAGAGACGGCATTCATCCTACTTTGGAAGGTGCCGATCTCATTTCGGCAAACATTTCAGGGCTTTGTGGACTTAATCCATGACAAACTGGAGTTGAGACCAGGAGGCGGAGTCGCAGTCTTACACGCTTCTCTGCGCTCTCTCCTAGGCAGTCATCCATAGGAATCCCGAACCCAATAAAATACCCAATATTAGCGGTGTGTGTGTCTGCCCAAGGACAAGTTAAGGTAAAACCTAATAGAGGTGTCATACATAATAACCTAATCAAAGTAAATGTAACAACTACTACAGTGCAACAAAACAGGAATATTAAATGTGGTCTCTTAAACATAAGATCTCTAGCATCTAAAGCAATATTGGTAAATGATTTAATATCAGATTATAATATTGATATATGCTGTCTCACTGAAACTTGGTTGAGACATGAAGAATATGTCAGCATAAATGAGGCCACTCCACCCAGCCATATCAATACTCATATTGCCCGAGGCACGGGCCGAGGAGGTGGAGTTGCAGCCATCTTTGACTCAAGTTTACTTATCAATACTAAACCAAAATTAAATTATACCTCCTTTGAAAGTCTCGTTTTTAGTCTTACGCATCCGACCTGGAAAACTTTGCAGCGAATCTTATTTGTTACAGTGTACCGTGCACCAGGTCCTTATTCAGAATTCTTATCAGAATCCTCTGAGTTTTTATCAACTTTGGTTCTTAAAACAGATAAAGTAATTATCGTAGGTGACTTTAATATTCATGTTGACGATGATAAAAATAGCCTTACTGTTGCATTTAACTCTATATTAGATTCTGTTGGTTTTTGTCAGAGTGTAAATAAACCAACCCACTGCTATAATCACACTCTCGACCTTGTTCTGACTTATGGTATTGAAATTGAGCAACTATTAGTCGAACCGCATAATCCTGCTTTATCCGACCATTTCTTAGTAACTTTTGAAGTACTGTTACGAGACTACAAAGCATTAGTCAAAAGCTCCTGCAGCAGAAACCTATCTGTTAGTGCTATAGCCAAATTTAAGGAAGAGATTCCACCAATACTTAACTCGATAGCATGTCTGCATGTAAGGGAGGAAACTTATACAAAATGTACACCACCCCAAATTGATCATGTTGTTGATAGTGCTACAGATGCGCTGCGAATAAAATTAGACTCTGTTGCTCCTTTGAAAAAGAAGAAAATAAAACAACATAGATTAGCTCCATGGCATAATGCCGAAACCCGCAAAATAAAGCAAAAGTCGAGACAACTTGAAAGGATATGGCGTTCTACTAAACTTGAAGAATCTCGTTTAATTTGGCATATTACTCTCAATGAATATAAGAAAGCACTGCGTAAAGCGAGAGCAGCCTACTACTCTTCATTAATAGATGAGAATAAGAATAATGCAAGATTTCTTTTCAGCACTGTAGCCAGGCTGACAGAAAGCCACAGCTCGATTGAGCCTTCTATTCCCATAGCACTCAGTAGCAATGATTTTATGTGCTTTTTTAATGATAAAATTGTTACTCTTAGAAACAAAATTAATGACCTCTTGCATTTGACCAGTATAGTGTTATCAACAGCTCCCGGAAACGTAAGTTCTAATATTACACTAGATAGTAAACTAGAATGCTTTTCAGCCATAAACCTTGAACAATTAAATTCAATGATTCTCTCTTCTAAACCATCAACGTGCATGTTAGACCCAATTCCAACTAAGCTGTTGAAGGAAGTTTTTCCATTAATTAGCACTTATTTATTAAATATTATGAATATGTCTTTATTATCAGGCTATGTTCCACAATCATTCAAAGTAGCAGTGATAAAACCACTTCTTAAAAAGCACAACCTCGATCCAGAGGTTTTAGCCAACTATAGACCTATTTCTAATCTTCCGTTCCTCTCAAAAATTCTTGAGAAAGCGGTCGCAAAACAGTTGTGTGATTACTTAAAAAACAATGATTTATTTGAAGCTTTTCAGTCTGGCTTTAGAACACATCATAGCACAGAGACAGCTCTGGTTAAAGTCACAAATGACATTCTAATAGCCTCTGACAAGGGACGTGTCTCTATTCTTGTTTTGCTCGATCTCAGTGCTGCATTTGATACTATCGACCATGATATCCTATTGCAAAGACTAGAGCACTTAGTTGGCATACAGGGAACTGCTTTAGACTGGTTTAGGTCCTATCTATCTGAACGCTCTCAGTTTGTACGTGTCAATGATGAATCTTCCACGCAAACCAAAGTTAGCCATGGAGTGCCACAGGGCTCAGTGCTCGGACCTATTTTGTTCACATTATATATGCTTCCGTTAGGCAATATTATAAGGAATCATTCTGTAAACTTTCATTGTTATGCAGATGATACTCAACTATATTTATCAATCAAGCCTGATGAAATTAATCATCTAAATACAATTCAAGACTGCCTTAAGGACTTAAAAACGTGGATGATCTTAAACTTTTTGATGTTAAACACGACCAAAACTGAAGTTATTGTACTTGGCCCGAAGAATCTACGAAACAAATTATCTAAGGATATACTAACTATGGATGGCATTAATTTGGCCTCCAGTGAGACTGTAAGGAATCTTGGTGTTATATTTGATCAGGATTTATCCTTTAACGCCCACATAAAATCAATTTCAAGGACCGCCTACTTCCATCTACGTAACATTGCAAAAATCAGGCATATCTTGCCTCAAAACGATGCAGAGAAACTAGTCCATGCATTTGTTACTTCAAGGCTGGATTATTGTAACTCTTTATTATCAGGGTGTACCAAGAAGTCAGTCAAGCTGATTCAAAATGCTGCAGCTCGTGTACTAACCAGAGTTAGGAAAAGGGACCACATTACTCCTGTTCTGGCTGCCTTACACTGGCTCCCTATAGAACATAGGATAGAATTTAAAATTCTTCTTCTCGCCTACAAAGCCCTTAATGGGCAGGCGCCATCTTACCTTAAAGAACTCATTATACCCTACTGTCCTACTAGGGCATTGCGTTCCAAGAATGCAGGGTTGTTGGTTGTTCCTAGAGTCTCTAAAAGTACAATGGGAGCCAGAGCCTTTTCTTATCAAGCTCCACATTTGTGGAATCAGCTTCCAGTTTGTGTTCGGGCGGCAGACACCCTATCCGTTTTTAAGAGTGCGCTTAAGACCTTCCTTTTTGATAAAGCTTATAGTTAGGGCTGATTAGATCCAGCCCCTAGTTTTGCTGATATAGGCTTAGTTTGTCGGGGGACATCTTACTTCTTCCTTCTCTCTGTCTATACCTGTGTACTCTCATGTTCCGATTAACCCAGCTTCCCCAAATGTCTTTCTTTTTGGTGTCTATATACGCCAGGATCCGGAGTCATGGATGATCCTGCGCTCCTCTGTCCTGGATCGCGAGCCCTGGATCTTGAGTCGTGGCTGTGGTCCTGGATCATAGGTCCTGGATGGATATCCTCGTGGATTCATCTTCCTATTATACACACATGCATT